CAAGATCAGGACTCAGAGTGGGACCAGGGCTCAGAGTGGGACCAGGATCAGGGCTCAGAGTGGGACCAGGATCAGGGCTCAGAGTGGGACCAAGATCAGAGCTCAGGGTGGAACCAGGGCCAGGGCTCAGAGTGGGGCCAGGGTCAGGGCTCAGAGTGGGACCAAGATCAGGGCTCAGGGTGGAACCAGGGCCAGGGCTCAGAGTGGGGCCAGGGTCAGGGCTCAGAGTGGGACCAGGGCTCAGAGTGGGACCAGGGTCAGGGCTCAGAGTGGGACCAGGATCAGGGCTCAGAGTGGGACCAGGGTCAGGGCTCAGAGTGGAACCAGGATCAGGGCTCAGAGTGGGACCAGGGCTCAGAGTGGGAGCAAGATCAGGACTCAGAGTGGGACCAGGGCTCAGAGTGGGACCAGGATCAGGGCTCAGAGTGGGACCAGGATCAGGGCTCAGAGTGGGAGCAGGCTCAGGGCTCAGAGTGGAACCAGGATCAGGGCTCAGAGTGGGACCAGGGCTCAGAGTGGGACCAAGATCATGGCTCAGGGTGGAACCAGGGCCAGGGCTCAGAGTGGGGCCAGGGTCAGGGCTCAGAGTGGGACCAGGGCTCAGAGTGGGACCAGGGTCAGGGCTCAGAGTGGAACCAGGATCAGGGCTCAGAGTGGGACCAAGATCAGGACTCAGAGTGGGACCAGGGCTCAGAGTGGGACCAGGATCAGGGCTCAGAGTGGGACCAGGGTCAGGACTCAGAGTGGGACCAAGGTAGGGCTCAGAGTGGGACCAGGATCAGGGCTCAGAGTGGGACCAAGATCAGGGCTCAGGGTGGAACCAGGGCCAGGGCTCAGAGTGGGGCCAGGGTCCAGACTCATAATGTGACCAGGGGCAGGGTTCAGTGTGTGTGACCAAGGTCACGGGTCAGAGTGTGACCAGGGTCAGGGGTCAGAGCGTGACCAGAATCAGGGGTCAGTATGTCTCTAGGGTTGGGGGTCAGTGTGTGACCAAGGTCATGGGTCAGAGTGTGACCAGAGTCAGGGGTCAGAGTGGGACCAGGGTCAGGGCTCAGTGTAGGGCCAGGGTCCAGACTCATAATGTGACCGGGGCAGGGGTCAGTGTGTGACCAAGGTCATGGGTCAGAGTGTGACCAGGGTCAGGGCTCAGAGTGGGACCAAGATCAGGGCTCAGGGTGGAACCAGGGCCAGGGCTCAGAGTGGGGCCAGGGTCAGGGCTCAGAGTGGGACCAGGGCTCAGAGTGGGACCAGGGTCAGGGCTCAGAGTGGGACCAGGAACAGGGCTCAGAGTGGGACCAGGGTCAGGGCTCAGAGTGGAACCAGGATCAGGGCTCAGAGTGGGACCAGGGTTCAGAGTGGGAGCAAGATCAGGACTCAGAGTGGGACCAGGGCTCAGAGTGGGACCAGGATCAGGGCTCAGAGTGGGAGCAGGGTCAGGGCTCAGAGTGGAACCAGGATCAGGGCTCAGAGTGGGACCAAGATCAGAGCTCAGGGTGGAACCAGGGCCAGGGCTCAGAGTGGGACCAAGATCAGGGCTCAGGGTGGAACCAGGGCCAGGGCTCAGAGTGGGGCCAGGGTCAGGGCTCAGAGTGGGACCAGGGCTCAGAGTGGGACCAGGGTCAGGGCTCAGAGTGGAACCAGGATCAGGGCTCAGTGTGGGACCAAGATCAGGACTCAGAGTGGGACCAGGGCTCAGAGTGGGACCAGGAGCAGGGCTCAGAGTGGGACCAGGGTCAGGGCTCAGAGTGGAACCAGGATCAGGGCTCAGAGTGGGACCAGGGCTCAGAGTGGGACCAAGATCAGGACTCAGAGTGGGACCAGGGCTCAGAGTGGGACCAGGATCAGGGCTCAGAGTGGGACCAGGATCAGGGCTCAGAGTGGGACCAAGATCAGAGCTCAGGGTGGAACCAGGGCCAGGGCTCAGAGTGGGGCCAGGGTCAGGGCTCAGAGTGGGACCAAGATCAGGGCTCAGGGTGGAACCAGGGCCAGGGCTCAGAGTGGGGCCAGGGTCAGGGCTCAGAGTGGGACCAGGGCTCAGAGTGGGACCAGGGTCAGGGCTCAGAGTGGGACCAGGATCAGGGCTCAGAGTGGGACCAGGGTCAGGGCTCAGAGTGGAACCAGGATCAGGGCTCAGAGTGGGACCAGGGCTCAGAGTGGGAGCAAGATCAGGACTCAGAGTGGGACCAGGGCTCAGAGTGGGACCAGGATCAGGGCTCAGAGTGGGACCAGGATCAGGGCTCAGAGTGGGAGCAGGCTCAGGGCTCAGAGTGGAACCAGGATCAGGGCTCAGAGTGGGACCAGGGCTCAGAGTGGGACCAAGATCAGGGCTCAGGGTGGAACCAGGGCCAGGGCTCAGAGTGGGGCCAGGGTCAGGGCTCAGAGTGGGACCAGGGCTCAGAGTGGGACCAGGGTCAGGGCTCAGAGTGGAACCAGGATCAGGGCTCAGAGTGGGACCAAGATCAGGACTCAGAGTGGGACCAGGGCTCAGAGTGGGACCAGGATCAGGGCTCAGAGTGGGACCAGGGTCAGGACTCAGAGTGGGACCAAGGTAGGGCTCAGAGTGGGACCAGGATCAGGGCTCAGAGTGGGACCAAGATCAGGGCTCAGGGTGGAACCAGGGCCAGGGCTCAGAGTGGGGCCAGGGTCCAGACTCATAATGTGACCAGGGGCAGGGTTCAGTGTGTGTGACCAAGGTCACGGGTCAGAGTGTGACCAGGGTCAGGGGTCAGAGCGTGACCAGAATCAGGGGTCAGTATGTCTCTAGGGTTGGGGGTCAATGTGTGACCAAGGTCATGGGTCAGAGTGTGACCAGAGTCAGGGGTCAGAGTGGGACCAGGGTCAGGGCTCAGTGTAGGGCCAGGGTCCAGACTCATAATGTGACCAGGGGCAGGGGTCAGTGTGTGACCAAGGTCATGGGTCAGAGTGTGACCAGGGTTAGGGGTCAGAGTGGGACCAGAGTCAGGGGTCAGTATGTCTCCAGGGTCGGGGGTCAGTGTGTGACCAAGGTCAGGAGTCAGAGTGTGACCAGGGTCAGGACTCAGTGTACAGCCTTGCTGGTCAGAGCACCGTGTGGGCTTGAGACTAGGGCTTAGTCTGGCCTGTGGGCAGAGCTCTCAGCCTCCCAGCTGTGGCCACTGCTCCGACTCTGGGAGCCTCCTTTTGCATCTAGCTCTGGTCCCAGGGTGGCCTGGCCTCTGGCCCTGTGCACTTTTTCCTATGGAAATCCCCTTTGGCTCTAGTCCTAATTATGTTTAAAACCCCCATCCTGGCCGGGGGATCTCATCAGGGAGCAGGAGCCAAGAGCCAGGATGCTGCAGAGAAAATGAGGGCTGGTGGCCTGGACAATTCCTCCACAACCCAATCAGGGCGCCTGCACACCCGGATTTGCATAAACCCCTAAGCCGATTAGAGGAGCATTCAGAGTAAGCAGTGCAGGTACAGTACGGAGCCAGCAAAGCCGCCCTCCTCTCCGAGTAGATTAATTGCTCTTGTCCCAGCTGGTCCCAAAGCCCCGTTCATTATCTCTCTCAGCAAACTGGCACCTCCCCCCGGCTCCTTCCCTGCTTCCCTCGGTGGCACCCAATTATAAATCCGCGTCACCCCGAATGCCTCCTCTCCCCTGTTCTCTGCTCAGCCCGCCTCGTCTGTTGCAGCCCCTGCAGCCTCAGCTTGGCCCGCCCCTCTGTCCCCACAGCCCCACCGGCCACACTCTCAGGCCACACTCCTGCCACAACCCAACATGCCCCCGGCATCAGCCCTCCTTCCAGCCACGCCGGCTCTGAGCACAGGACAAAGGCCCTCTCTGCCATGGGCTTCACAGAAAGGCTGGCGCCTGGGCTTCCCGGGCTCTTGCATTGTCCTTGTGAAGTGGGCACTGCTCTGCTCGTGGTCGGCCAGCACCCTCCCCACTTCCCAGCTGTGCACTGAGGCTGGGGACTGAGCCTGGCCCAGACACACAGCCACACTCGCTGCCCTCTGTGTGATCTCCTGCAGACGGGCCCGCTCCCCTCCATTCCCACCGCCTGGTTGCACACCCTCCCCGTGGGCAGGAGCAAGCTCACACCTTCCTGGACTGGCTTCCACCTGCTCCACGAGGGCCCTGCCCCTGATCTGCTGCCCTGAGATGCTGGCAAGGACACCTGTCTGGGAGAGGATGGGGCCGAGGCCGTGATCAGGGCCAGAGCAGGCCCTACGCGGCAGGAGGTGTCAGGCGCCCGCACCTGCTCTGAAGCCATTCCCCTCCCCTCGCCACTGGAGAGACACAAGGTGCAGGGGCCTGGGGTCCTTGGGGTACCCCCATTGCTGCAGCCCACACAGAAACTGTAGGTAGGAGGGGGATGAACCAGGATCTCAACCCTGGCCCCCGTTGGGTCCGCTTGACCCTGTGACCCTGGCCAAGCCAGACCCTCATTGAGAAAACAAGAAGTGGGTTGGCCGACCTCTGGGCATTGCCTCTTTGCAAGACTTGAATCTGTGAAATGGGCTCTGAGAGCTTTAAACCAACCGACGCCTTCTCAGGCAGACTCAGAAGACTCAGGCGTGTGTGTGGGAGAGGGGGGTCTCTGCTTCAGGCTTGCTCCAGACATGGAAGGAACTCATTTACGCCATGAGAATCTGCTGGATGTAAGGTCATCATGGTCACACCATCATCACCATCACCACCGTCAGGGCCAAGCCACTGGCTGGTGTGACCCTGGACTGACCCCTTCATCCTCCTGGGCCTTGGGTGGGCCAAAAACTGGGAGAAAAGTTTTTCCTTCCTTCACAGGGCCTTTGGTTTAAGACGCAGGGGGTGTGGAGGTGCCCTGGAGGAAAGAGGTGAGACACAGGCTCAGGCTGGCCTCCACAAGGTGGCCCCAGGGCTGGCAAAGAGGCTGGTGCTGGCTGCTGACGCCCAGAGCTGATGTGGCCCTGCCCAGACTGCCTGACCCGCATCCTGGGCACCGAGCTGAGTGCCCTGCAGGCCCAGCACTCCCCACCCTGCTCAGGACCCACCACCTCTAGCCCTTTCCAGCCAGGGCCTGGAGGCCCCTCTGTAAGCTCCGCACCCCCAAGAGAAGCCACTCGGCACTGAGGAGCCCAGTCCTCAGGCCCACACAGAGGAGGGGACAGACACGGAGACAGTCCATCCCGGCTGTGGCCTGCACCAGGCTGAGCCAGCTCTCTACGTCTGGGACAGGTGCGGGCAGAGGTAGTTAGCGCCCCGCACCTCTGTCTCCCTTCCCTGTGCCCCCTGGCGCCAAGAGCGTCTTCAATTTCCCGGTCACAAACTGCAGCTGGCTGAGTCCTGGGCCCCTGGGCCTGGCTGGGCCGGCGCTCTGGACGGCTGACAGCTGCTGCCACTGCGACAAGCATATGCTCACCAAACCCCACGCCCGCCAGTCCGCCTGGAGCCGAAGCCTGGTCCCTCCGGCTCCCACCTAGCTTCCTGCAGGCCTGTGCGGCCCCCAGGCACAGGGAGGCTGGGCCCGCTGTGACGCGGCCAGCTGTTTGCTCGGGGACCATCAGGGGCCGCACGTCCCCGCCTGCTTGCAGAGTCAGGGCCGGTGGTCCCTCCGCCTCCATTCACTCTGCCGTCCCAGCTCGGTAGAGACCTCGGGTCCACACCTGGGATGGACGGGCTGCAGACAGGAGGGGCTGACATCTGCTTCAGGGTCGCTGGGGGGCCCAGCACCCTCACTGTCTACAGGAGCCCCCTCTTCTTCAGAGCCCCCCGGTGCCCAGAGCTGGGCTTCCCACAACCCCTCTATCTTTTCTCACCCTTTCTGCCCCAGGGGCCTGAGGCACCACCCAGGATCCCCGAGGGGGCCCCCTGCACCCTGCACCCCTGAGCCAGACCTACCGGGAGTGTGGCGGCTCTGACCGGCGAGGAGCAGGGGCCATCCCTCGGGGCACAGCTCTGGGCCACCTGCCCCGGAGCTCCTCAGAAGCCAGAGGCTGGAGTCCCAGATGCCTGCATGGGGTCCATGTGGACAACACGTGTCCATGTTAGCCCTCCCCCCACCCTGCCCTTCACCCTCCCGGCCTCTGAGGCCTGCGCTCCTGAGGTATCTTGTCGATAAAAGCTGCCCTTGTGTTAACCTCCGTCTCAAGCTGCTTGTGGGGATGGCAGAGTCGGCCCTCAGTCAGCCCCTCCTGGAGCGGGCACCCCGGCAGCCTCCCGTTGAGTGTGGCCTGGCCTCGTGGCTTGACTTGCTACCGATCAGCAGAACATGGCAACATGCTGGGACACGGCTTTGTGATTAGGTCACGGGAGAGCGGGTCTTCTGTCTCGCTGACAGACTCCGTCCTCCTGGCTAAACCACTTGGAGGGAAGACCACGCACCAAGGAGCAGAGGGCCGCCTCCATCATGGTCAGGAAGGAGCAAGGGCCTTGTCCAAGAAGACCTGAGCAACAGACCCCCCAACACCAGGTGGGCCTAACCCACCCTCCCCGGTCAGGCCTCAGATGAGAGCCGGCCCCACGGACACCCAGACTGCAGCCTGTGAGAGCCCGAGCAAAGGCCGCAGCCGGGCTGAGCCGGGCCCTGACCATGGAGGCTGAGCTATTAACATGCGGTTTCACCCCCTGCGGGTGGAGGCCACGTGTGGAGTCAAGGCCAATACAGGATCCTAGCTGAGACGCCTGTTCCACGCACCCTGCCCCTGCCCTGCACCCCCAGACCCCATGGCCCTCAGCAGCCCCTCCCACACCACACACACCCTAGTCCTGGTGCCTCGTCCACCCTGTGATGCAGGCATCTGCGCTGATGTCTCAAGGGCCCAGATGAGTGCTTGGCATAGGGTGGGTGCTCGGCACTCGTTAATGAGGCCTCACGGCAGGACACCTGGTGTTGGGTCCAGGGACTGGGCGGAGGGGGTGCTTGTCAGCTGGAGTGGTCCAGTCATGCACTGACATGTGACTGTCCCCAGACCCCCGGTGATCAGAGGCTCAGGCAAGCACCAGACCCGGGAGGCGCAGGCAGAGCCACCTGTGAGCTCACAAGAGCAGTTACCAGTGTGGGAATGGCCCACCCTCCCCCACCGGCTCTCACTGCCGCTTCTGTGTTAGGACACAGTGAAGACCCTCAGTCCCCGGCGAAGCCCAGGTCGGAGCTGGGGGATGGGCTGGGAGGCAGGTGGGCAGTGGGAGCCCGGGGTGCCGTCCATGAGGTGGGGGCCGCCCACCGCGGGAAGGTCAGCGCACCACAGAAATGCCCTTCCAGACAGTTCCTGGACGATTGCAATCTCTCCCGCTCGTGTTAGAAATGTGTTTCTGCTGTGGTCTGCCCTTCCTCAGGGACGAATAATTCCTCCAGTGCAGAGGGATGCTGACAGCCAGCTTTCATTTATCTCTTTGAGATGCAGATTCCCTGACCCGGGCACCCCTCCCTGCTGATCCCTCCCCAGCCAGCCTGCGGGGCGGCCAGCAGGCCCAGCGGCCCTGGACTACCTGCCTTGTCAGCCCCTGGGGACCCTCCGCCAGCTGCCCGCCGGCGAGGGGCTGCGAGGGCCGCGCAACCTGGCAGGCTGTGCAGGTGGGTGGCTGAACTCCCTGCAGCTCGCACGGCTCTGTTCTTCTTCATCTTTGTTCGAGAGGTGGCCCAGAGGACTCGGGCACCGTCTGAACTTTTGTTGGAACGTGCCCTGGGTTCATCTCTGGTCCCACTGTTCAGAAGCCCCCCTTCTAGTTCAGGCAGACGGCAGACAGGGGGAGTCAACTCTGACCTGAGGGTGCCCCCTCTTCCCTCTCCTCCAGACCAGGTGTCCCTCCCCAAGGGTGTGCTGAAAGCCAAGAGACGTCAGGCTACATGTCACCTAAGTGAGAGGTGGCCCCCTTGATCAGAAGAGGAGGTTCAGCAGTGACACCCCAGGCATCCTCGGGGAGAAGTGCCCCGTAGGTGCACCGACCTCGGGGCCTCAGGGGGCCTTGGAGCGTGCAGAGAGCATTGGCAGAGACCACCTGCCCGCTGGAGGCTGGGGCACAGGCAGTGGTCAGCGTCTCCGGCCCAGTCCTCCTTGCATCTGCCGAGCAGAGGGAGCCTCTCAAAGCGGCTTGGACCCTCCCTTGAGGTCAGCCCACACCACAGTCCCTGAGATCAGGCATGCCAGGCAGAAGTGTGCCACCAGCTTGAGGCTGAACTTCAAGCAAAGGGCAGACTCGAGGTTGGCTGCCATGGTGACCTAAGTACATGCTCTGCTGGAGGAAATGGGGACCAAGGTTAATGCGTCAGCAGAAACTGATTCCCTGGGCTGTGCTGGCTGCATCCTCGCCGGACGGCATTCAGGGTGAGGGGGTCTGCAGGGCGCGTGCCGTTGTGTGCACATGCTTCTGCTTGTATGTACACACATGTGAGCATGGACACACATATGCCTGTATGCATGCAAATGTATCTGTGCCTGGGCATTTGTATATGTATATGCACATGTGAGCAAGTCCATCACAAATGCTTGTGTGTGTGCCCAAGTGCGTGTCCCTGTGTGCCTACATGAGCATACATGTGTGCACATGTGTGCTTGTGTAACTAGGTACCCATGTGCATTGCAAATGTGAGCCCATGTGTATGATATGTGTGTGGGCATATACACGTGTGCACACTAGTACAGACATGTGCCCACATGTGTGTGAAGTGGGCCTCCCCAGTAGCACAAGGTCCGACCTCACCCTCTCCCTCAGTGCGTGTTTTCACACGGATGGCCACACTTCCTGGGTTCAACTACCCTCTCTGTCTCAATGGTCCCTAAACACTATCCCCAACTGACATTTCTCTTTGAGCATCAAATATGAACACACGCACACAGAGCTCACACATTCCCATTCACTTATTCAACAGAGCCACTGCACACAGGAAGATGAGCTGGCGGGAGGGGAGCCCCGGGTCCCGTCACTGGTGGGTGGCCGCAGGGTTTGCTGCCTGGGGCTGAGGGTCCAACTGGAGGACATGGCACCTGGGCAGCCCCCCGCAGGCTGAGTCCCGGCCTGGTTTCTGGGAGGAGCCCGCCATCCAGCTTCGCACTCTGACCCTCACACTTCCAGCCGCTGCGAGGATTTCGAGACTGTGTTCAGAACAGCTTCTTGGGTGTCGTGGGTGGCCTGAGCTTCAGCATGACAACTGTTCCCTCTCCACTCTGTCTTGAGGAGGCTGTGGCCACAGCCCAGCCGGGGACAGGGCCTGAGTGGACAAGAGTGACAGGCACGGGCCGGCGGCCACATTGCTGCCGCCCAAAGTGACGGCAGGAGCCAGGCCGAGTCCTGGGCCACCTGCTCAGCTCTGAACCTGTGCCAGTCCTGCCGTCTGCCTCCGGCAGTCACCATCTGCTCCGCTGGCAGGTGGCACGGTGCTCCGGAGTGACAGCAAACCAGACCCCGGGGAGTCCGGCACATCCGTGGGCTCCAAAGGGCCCTTACTCACGACCATGCAGATAGCTCACAACCTCCAGGTTCAGGCTCAGTTCCTCACCTGAGAACGTGGGGTAGTAACTGTCTCCTTTTTAGAACCGGGGGGTTAATTCAAGGCCTTCGTTCACTCATTCATTCACTCACTCATTCATGGGGCCCCAGCATCTGGTTACAGACCTGGGGACAGGATTTGTCACTGACCAAGGGCCTGGACAACGAGATGCGTTGTTAGCAGTCTCCCCAGGCAAGTCCTCACCACTCAGGCCCCAAGCCCAGAGCCCCAGAGACCCTTCTGGCTGGGACAGTTCCCGCTCTGCCACTGTCTAGCTACTGGCCCTGGTGCCATGTTTTGTCTCCCTTACGGCCCCTTTCCCTCCCTGAAGCTCCATCTGTGAGCCTGTGTGTCTGCCCACCTAATGACTCTGAGGCATGGCCCCTGAGGGTGGCTTCCTGTCTGTCTGATCAGTCCTGTCTGCATCACTGAAGAGTCCCTGGAACACAGTAGGTGCTCAATAAACATTGGTGACGATGAAGGTTGTTCAGGCCGGGACTCAGAATAGAAGTCAGGTCTTCAGACAGACCAGGGCTGGCCCCAGTGGGCATTCACCACTGTCCCGAGGATGGAACCAGAAATAGGGGGGCCTCCCGTCTCCAGTCGGAAACAAGGGCTGGTGGAAGAACCCCAGTTTTCCTTGTGTTGGTGTGGGGTGGAGAAGAACAGATGGCCAGGAAGAAGCCAGACAGATGCCAAGAGCCCACAGCCCTCTCCTGCTTCTCAGACCCTGGCAGCTCACCCCGTCTGGTCATCTCCTTGAAAGCTTGAGGAAGGAAATTCAATCCTTCTGGAGACATCCTTCTTCTCTTGACCTTTGGGTCTGCATATCCATCTCCAACTCTGTGTATCCATCTCTCAATCCATCACCCAGTGAATCCAGGACTCTTCCTTTATTAAGAAGCCAGGGAAGCCAGTTCAGTGGAGTTGGGGAACAGGTGAGAACACCTCATCCCGAGGAGGCCCTCTGTCTGAATGAGTAGCTGGCATCCACCATTTAATTTCCAGTCCTCAAACACTGCTAGATGCCTTTCTTTCTCCCGGTCCCCCCTGCCCTCTGTCTGAAAGTCCTTCCAGCTCTACTTTAAAAGAGAAAATCAAGCTTGTCTCACCACCTCTGCTGCTGAGTCTCCC